TAAATCATTACCCGACGCCAAGATGTGCTGGCCATTCAAGAAAGCCTCCAGAAACAAACAAAATAAAGAAGAAATTTATGATTATGAAGAAATATTAAACAAATATTTCAAACAAGAGGTCGAAATTCTATCATTTAAAGATAGAAATGAAGAGCCTAGCCATATGCCGAAAAGGGTCAGCTTCGGCCGCGAAATTCTCTACAAAGAATTTGAAAGCTCCGAGAAGCCAGAAGAGCTATCAAAAAAAGAATGGAAAAACATGGCGGAGGACGCTTTCTTCCTGAAAAAGATCAAAGAGAGATCTATTCCTCACTGCCCTCCATGTACGCCGAAAAGATATTTCTTTCAGTGTTCAAAAACCAGGCCACCTTACAGCGTAAGAAAATTGCTGAAAGAAGTTTCTGTTCGCTTGGAGAGCCAGAAAAATGATATAATATGCGAGTTGGGCGCCAAAAGAGCTAGAAAGGCCAAGAAACGGGAGCGCCATGAAGAGCTCTGGAGGTCATCAGAAATAGAACTGAGGATTCTTGAATCCAGCGAGGAGCCTGATGACTTGGCGTTGCTTCCTGAAACATCAGTTGCAACTTCTTCCAGTGCAATACATTTGGCAACTACCCTCTAAATTCCTCTAATTCCTTCTTGATAATATAATATGTATTTTATGAAGAGGAGAATATGATAATAGATGCTCCTGAGACTGCTTTGAGACCGGGGGCTAGCGAACCCCAGCAGGGTAGAAGATCCTCGGGTTGCTCTGGAGCCGGGGGCTAGCGAACCCCAACAGGGTAGAAGATCTCGGGTTGCTCTGGAGCCGGGGGCTAGCGAACCCCAGCAGAGTAGAAGATCCTCGGGTTGCTCTGGAGCCGGGGGCTAGCGAACCCCAGCAGAGTAGAAGATCCTCGGGTTGCTCTGGAGCCGGGGGCTAGCGAACCCCAGCAGGGTAGAAGATCCTCGGGTTGCTCTGGAGCCGGGGGCTAGCGAACCCCAACAGGGGAGAAGATCCTCGGGTTGCTCTGGAGCCGGGGGCTAGCAAACCCCAACAGGGTAGAAGATCCTCGGGTTGCTCTGGAGCCGGGGGCTAGCAAACCCCAACAGGGTAGAAAATCCTCGGGTTGCTCTGGAGCCGGGGACTAGCGAACCCCAACAGGGTAGAAGATCCTCGGGTTGCTCTGGAGCCGGGGGCTAGCGAACCCCAACAGGGTAGAAGATCCTTGGGTTGCTCTGGAGCCGGGGGCTAGCGAACCCCAACAGGGTAGAAGATCCTTGGGTTGCTCTGGAGCCGGGGGCTAGCGAACCCCAACAGGGTAGAAGATCCTCGGGTTGCTCTGGAGCCGGGGGCTAGCGAACCCCAACAGAGGAGAAGATCCAAGGCCTGCTCTGGAGCCGGGGGCTAGCGAACCCCAGCAGGGTAGAAGATCCTCGGGTTGCTCTGGAGCCGGGGGCTAGCGAACCCCAATAGGGTAGAAGATCCTCGGGTTGCTCTGGAGCCGGGGGCTAGCGAACCCCAACAGAGGAGAAGATCCAAGGCCTGCTCTGGAGCCGGGGGCTAGCGAACCCCAACAGGGTAGAAGATCCTCGGGTTGCTCTGGAGCCGGGGGCTAGCGAACCCCAACAGGGTAGAAGATCCTCGGGTTGCTCTGGAGCCGGGGGCTAGCGAACCCCAGCAGGGTAGAAGATCCTCGGGTTGCTCTGGAGCCGGGGGCTAGCGAACCCCAGCAGGGTAGAAGATCCTCGGGTTGCTCTGGAGCCGGGGGCTAGCGAACCCCAACAGGGTAGAAGATCCTCGGGTTGCTCTGGAGCCGGGGGCTAGCGAACCCCAACAGAGGAGAAGATACACGGGTTGCTCTGGAGCCGGGGGCTAGCGAACCCCAACAGGGTAGAAGATCCTCGGGTTGCTCTGGAGCCGGGGGCTAGCGAACCCCAACAGGGTAGAAGATCCTCGGGTTGCTCTGGAGCCGGGGGCTAGCGAACCCCAGCAGGGTAGAAGATCCTCGGGTTGCTCTGGAGCCGGGGGGCTAGCGAACCCCAGCAGGGTAGAAGATCCTCGGGTTGCTCTGGAGCCGGGGCTAGCGAACCCCAACAGAGGAGAAGATCCACGGGTTCTTCTGGAGCCGGGGGCTAGCGAACCCCAGCAGGGTAGAAGATCCAAGGCCCTGCTCTGGAACCGGGGGCTAGCGAACCCCAGCAGAGGAGAAGATACACGGGTTGCTCTGGAGCCGGGGGCTAGCGAACCCCAACAGGGTAGAAGATCCTCGGGTTGCTCTGGAGCCGGGGGCTAGCGAACCCCAACAGGGTAGAAGATCCTCGGGTTGCTCTGGAGCCGGGGGCTAGCGAACCCCAGCAGGGTAGAAGATCCTCGGGTTGCTCTGGAGCCGGGGGCTAGCGAACCCCAGCAGGGTAGAAGATCCTCGGGTTGCTCTGGAGCCGGGGGCTAGCGAACCCCAACAGAGGAGAAGATCCACGGGTTCTTCTGGAGCCGGGGGCTAGCGAACCCCAGCAGGGTAGAAGATCCAAGGCCTGCTCTGGAACCGGGGGCTAGCGAACCCCAGCAGAGGAGAAGATCCAAGGCCTGCTCTGGAGCCGGGGGCTAGCGAACCCCAACAGAGGAGAAGATCCACGGGTTGCTCTGGAGCCGGGGGCTAGCGAACCCCAGCAGGGTAGAAGATCCACGGGTTCCTCTGGAGCCGGGGGCTAGCGAACCCCAACAGAGGAGAAGATCCAAAGCCTGCTCTGGAACCGGGGGCTAGCGAACCCCAGCAGAGAGAAGATCCACGGGTTGCTCTGGAACCGGGGGCTAGCCAACCCCAGCAGGGTAGAATATCCACGGACAGCTCTGGAACCGGGGGCTAGCGAACCCCAACAGAAGAGAAGATCCAAGGCCTGCTCTGAACCGGGGGCTAGCGAACCCCAGCAGGGTAGAAGATCCAAGGCCTGCTCTGGAACCGGGGGCTAGCGAACCCCAACAGAGGAGAAGCTCCAAGGCCTGCTCTGGAACCGGGGGCTAGCGAACCCCATCAGAGGAGGAGATCCAAGGCCTGCTCTGGAACTGAAGGTTGGTAGAGAATCAGTTGAGGAAATCCCGGGGAAGTTCAAAACCAACACCAAACCTACAATGATGGCTTCCAAGATGAGCTGAATGTGAAAAAATATTATCTTTACATCTCCTTTTTTTCCTTCATAATCCAAAATACTCCTAAATTGAATAAAAATTGTGCCTGTGGGGAAAGGTATAATAAAATAAAAAGGCATATATTGGATCAGAATATCATTTATTTTACCAATATTTCAGTTGGCTGAACACCAATCTTTATCAAGGTGTTATTACATATTTAATGTGTGTCAACAACAAACTCAGCGCCACACATACACACACACATATATATATGTATATATATATATTTTTTTCAACTTTTAATTAGACATTTTAAATAATGTTATTTTTTAACTTTTTAATTTAGAAACTTTGTGTTTTTTAAAATAAATTTTTATTTAGGAGAGAATATGCTAAAATACAGTTATCAGAGTCATCAATCAACAATCAATCAACAATTCTGTCACCGTTTGCTTTTGTGAATGGAATAAATACCCAAATATGGCCATTTTTTATAAACATCGGTGGTTCAGTGGTAGAATGCTCGCCTGCCACGCGGGCGCCCAGGGTTCGAATCCCGGCCGATGCATTTCTTTTTTTTTTTTTTACAATTTTTAAAACTCATTTATATTATTAAAATATATATCCAAGGATAAGGCACAATTTGGTTTATAGATTACTAGAAGGGTGACCCGGGCTTCGCCCCGGGATTGACCCGTGTGCATATCTACCCGATTTTTAATAATTGTTTGTTATTAGCATTATCTATTTGTTTGCATCAGCATAATTTAATCTAATCTTTGACAGAGGGCGCTGTTCGTGAGCTAAGTAGAATAATTTGAATATATAGTTTTAATAATTGATTTATATATTTTTTAAAATAGCCTATCGTCTTCCCCGTATTTTTTTACCTATGTATGGAAATTTTGGTTTGAATTAGTGAACTACTGCGAATTTATATCCCGGAAATACAAACAAACAAACATACAAACATTCATTTTTATATATATAGAAGATAAACACAAGGTATTAAGACCAAATCCAAGGATAAGGTACAATTTGGATTATTAAAATATACAAGTATCAGAGTCATAATCAACAATCAATCAATTCTGTCACCGTTGGCTTTTGTGAATGGGATTAATACCCAAATATGGCCATTTCTTATAACCATCGGTGGTTCAGTGGTAGAATGCTCGCCTCCCATGCGGGCGGCCCGGGTTCGATTCCCGACCGATGCATTATTTTTTTTACAATTTTTAAAACTCATTTATATTCTATATACAAGTATCAGAGTCATCAATTCTTTCATCGTTTGCTTTTGTGAATGTATGTAAATAATGGATTTCATATTTTTTATTAATTTTTGTTCTGGCCTTTACTTGTTTAAATATCTTTTTAAAAATCGTTTAAAATGCAGTCGCAATCATTAGCGAACACATATGTTTGCCTAATATTTCCATATGCTCTTTTATTTTTTTACAGAAAAATATTTACATGCCAGTATTTTGGATTATTTTTTTTATAAACCTATTTTTTTTTATTCTTACTGAGAAGATGGGCATCACAGTCAGGATTATTTACATTCAGTCACTCAACTCAGGCAATTTCAAAGGTTAATGGGGGTTTGGTGGAAAAGCTGCCGTCTATTTAAACTATATTAATTTTGAAACAACTAAATGGATTGCAAAAAATAATTAAATAAAATACCTAAACACTAATATAATACAATTTTTGCCATTACACACTTTTTTTCCTGTAGTTTATGTGTTTCTTCTGTATTGCTATTCTATGGCACTTCTACTATTTATTATTGATGTACTTTCAGTATGAAGGATACTTCACTCGGGGATTTCTCGGGCGAAGCCGGGTCATTCTTCTAGTTGATTATAAACACAAGGTAATAAGACCAAATCTAAGGATAAGGTACAATCTGGATTATAGATTATATACACAAGGTAATAAGACCAAATCTAAGGATAAGGTACAATCTGGATTATAGATTATAAACACAAGGTAATAAGACCAAATCCAAGGATAAGGTACAATTTGGATTATAGATTATAAACAAAAGGTAATAAGACCAAATCCAAGGATAAGTCACAATTTGGATTATAGATTATAAACACAAGGTAATAAGACCAAATCCAAGGATAAGTCACAATTTGGATTATAGATTATAAACAAAAGGTAATAAGATCAAATCCAAGGATAAGTCACAATTTGGATTATAGATTATTAGCGGACGTACCCGGCTTCGCCCGGGTTTTATCCGAGTAAAGGTTTGTCTAACGAACATTTGTTAAAACAATTCTCTATAAACTTATAAAAAAAATAATAGATATATTTTGATAATTTGAAACTCGTAAATTTGAATCTCTCGATAAAGTGAACATTTTTTCCCGGTCCCTTGTCTCATCTTGATTTATATATTTTTTAAAATAGCCTATCGTCTTCCCCGTATTTTTTTTTACCTATGTATGGAAATTTTGGTTTGAATTAGTGAACTACTGCGAATTTATATCCCGGAAATACAAACAAACAAACAAACAAACAAACATACAAACATTCATTTTTATATATATAGAAGATAAACACAAGGTAATAAGACCAGATAGGTAGAAAATCTTACTTTTGATAAATAATCTTTAAGATAATAAACTTAGTGATAATAAAACTTGTAGATAAAAAAACTTGTTATCATCATCATGGGGGCGCTGCTTGCGAGTTAAAACTACAAATCTGCAAATAACTCTAAGGATATTCAAGATATTCAAGAAATTATTTTTCAGAAACCTTCCCAGTACTATACTAAATAACTTCCCAAAGTTTCATGGCGTTCCAATGAGTGGTTTGGTCAGGCATAAAGGACACACACACAAACACATACATTCATTTATATATATATATAGAATAGATATATATGTTGTAATATATTCCAATATATACCTATATATCCTATATCGCCATGTGTTTACTGGCATTTTATTTTATTTGACATATCGGACGCGATATCCCAGCTCGGGATACTTGCGCCTAAATACATCCTAGCAGCTTATATACAATTCATTTTATACAATTTAATAACCGGACTAAAAACATAATTGAAACTCAAACGATGGTATTCTAAAATGTGTTGTATAGTTTTAATGTAATTGCCAAGTTGACATAAATAAAATTTCGAGTGAGTTACAGTCGGCGCATGTAGAGGAAAAAGGTCCGAAAAACAATTCGGGTCCCCAGGTGTGCCCCTTTCTTACTCAAACAGATTAGTCCGCTTTGAGACACGATGATGGACAGACCCCTCTCAACAGATCTCCCTGACCGGTGTCGGCTACACTCACTCTCTCGCCATCTCTGTGGTGACATCCAACATGTCTCGTCCTTTTGTGTAATCCCAATCACGCCTGAAACCACTCTAATCATTGTGGCCACCACGACTGTAACCAACATGCCACACTACATTCATCTACAGAAACAAACTACATTACTACATATATATACTTCACACACACCCTTTTATATATTGTAACGTAGAAAATTAGGAAAGACAAACCTCAGAATTACACAGCAATTTATTTAATGTAAACCAAATTAAAACTAATAAAATAGCAGAGAGGCAATGAGAAAACTTTACAATGTATCAAAATACAAATATCAAAATTGAAAGATATTTTTATAGAATAATAAATAACCTACTACATAGCTCCTTCCCTATGGGAGCTGTGACCACAGTTTGGAAATCTTGTTGCTACTGACATGGATCTGACATGTTTCTGTCAAGTATTCCTTTGGAGTCTTGGACGTCTGTCCTTAGTACCTTTGCGTCCTTTTTTCTTGCAGCGTGAAGAGCGGCTTTGTCGTCGTGTCGTCAATAGGGACATCGTCATCTTGTAGAAAATTCTTGGCTTTGACACGGCGGTAGATACAGTGTATAGTTAGCTGGAAATCATACTTATAGTTATCAAAATTCGAAACTATTTTAAAGGCGTAAGATTCTTTTTGATATTAAACAATTTCTACTGCCCTTACTGCAATGGAAAAATTAATGAGAGGGCCTGGCTCATCAGTGGTGAACCCTCTCAGCGGTTCCGCCAGTTTAATCTACCACACCGCTGTTATATTGCATTTTTGGTCGACAATTGGTCCGCCTTCTACATGCTAGGAGAGGAAGCATTCTAAGGCCAAATATTGCATTTTTGGTAGTATCAATTAATCCGCCTTCTACATGCTAGTCAGGAAGCATTTTAAGGCACAATGGAACACCTGGACGACACATGCAAACAGCCCGCTGCTTCTGGTAACAGCGCGCCGCTTGCGAGGGAACCAAGGCAGCACCAAGTACGACTAAAGCTCCCTAGGCTTCAAAAATAGGGGATCATCAGAGATCAAAAGTCTGGCTTTTATCTTTCTATTGCATTTTTGGAACTTCCTTTTATAGTGATACTGTTGATAGACTCTTTGAGAATGGGTATTTTAGAAGAACTATGGACATAAGCTTAGAAGACAGTAGAATTACATACATTTTAAAATATATAATATGCGTCGAGCAATCGCTCTTCCGCAAATATCAAATTATTTCTTTTATTAGAACATTTATAATATGATGCACTAGCGCGCCATCTGTTATAAAAATTCGAAACTATTTTAAAGGCGTAAGATTATTTTTGATATTAAACAATTTCTACTGCCCTTACTGCAATGGAAAAATTCTTCTAGTTATACTGTTGAAAGCCATGTTAACCACCGAAACCTAGAGAAATAAAAATAGTTAAAGAAACTTAAACCCTAGATTGCTTGTTGGTCTTATTAAATATATCTTTACTGCATTTTATTTAAATAGACACATATGAGAGTTGGGACGAGTGGTTAAACCCCTCGATTCCCGACAGCCATGAACAGGGATCGAATCCCGCATTGGACACTTTGTTTTAATATATGAATAACCTTCACATATCACCTGTAAATATCATAAGCTAGGTTTCTCTTTTTGAGCGGTACCTAATGGAGTTATTTTGGAACCAATTTGAGAGTTTTTAATACTCGAAAGTTTTCCTTTATGATCGTTTTCTGTGATATACGTAGTATAAAGAAAGGACAAACAGGAAGGTGGGATATAGAGACAGCGCTCGATATTTATCGTTCAAGAAACCATCAACAGGAGTCCACAAGGCCGGAGCGGCCGCCAGGGAGTTCACTCGGTCGATGCGACGGCGGCGGGTAGCTACGCTCGCGGCCTTGGCGGGGCTGGCGTGGCTGGCAGGCTTAGCGGGCCTCCGGTCCCAGGCCCGGGCCGTGCCGGACCTCGCCCGGCGCCTGCCCCGCGCCCCTCATCATCGGCGCCAAGAAGTGCGGCACCCGAGCGCTGCTGGAGTTCCTGCGCTTACACCCGGACGTCAGGGCAGCCGGCCCGGAGCTGCACTTCTTCGACCGGAGGTACCACCTGGGGCTTGACTGGTACAGGTAGGTACTGTACTTTCTTGGTGCCCTCTTTAGAACAATTAGTGAACTATCGGTATATACGGGAAGCTACGAAGATATTTGCTACCAATATAACGTCAAATGTGCCTTTTTGGCGTTCTTTAACACACGCTGAATGGAGCGTGCTGACGTTAAAACGGGAAGCTACGAAGACAATTTGTGACCAATATAACGTCAAATGTACTTTCTTGAAACACTCTTTAAATGCTAATTATACGTCCTGGCAATATATACGGGAAATCTTCGAGAACAATTTGTAACCGATACAACTTCAAATGTATCTTTTTGACATTCTTTAACACAGGCGTGCTAACGTTATATACGGGAAGCTACGAATATATTTTGTGACCAATATAACTTCAAATGTACCTTTTTAGCATTATCTAACACGCGCTGAATGGAGCGTGCTAAAGCTATATACGGGAAAGCTACGAATACAATTAGTGACCAATATAACGTCAAATGTACTTTCTTGGCACACCTTTTAAAACCATTGAGCGAGCTATCGTTATATACGAAGACTAGAAAAGCTACGAATACAATTTGTGACCAATATAACTTCAGGAATGTACATTTCTAGCGTTCTTTAACACACGTTCAATTAAGCGTGCTATTTATATATAGGAAAGCTAAGAAGACAATTTGTGACCAATATAATGTCATATCTACCTTTTTGGCATCCTTAAACACACGCTGAATGGAGCGTTCTAAAGTTATATACGGGAAAGTAAAGAAGACAATTTGTGACCAATAAAATGTC